GAAAGACGTAATTGAGGAGGAGATTGAGAAAGGCCGAAAGGCACCCTCGCAACGTGCTAGGGCGCAGAAAGGGCGGGCTTGCATGGTGCAGATGCAGCTCCCGTTCGGGCCGGCCACAAAGGCCCCGGGTTGACGATGACTTGGAGGAGGCTTGATGTAGATTATGATGGCGCACTGACAGACAATACTACTAATTCCTTTTCTTTCAGACTTGGCAGCATGATAAACCCAACGTTGACAGCAAGCCGCGCATACCCAACTCGACATGAAGGCAGACGAGCCCTTCGGAGGCACCCCTTCACAGCAGAGAGACAAGCACCGGTCCACATCGCACCAAGCCATGACGCTGAGCCCTCCTCATCAGCAATTTCTCGCGCACGGACCACTGCACTAACGACACTTACACTTTCCCAGGCTACACTCACACACGTTTAGTACGATACAGTGTCCCTACATATACCCGCTGGTCATGCATGTATCCGAGACAATGGATCCCTTGTACCTATGCGTTGCGGGCATCTGCCCGCTCTAGGGGCGGGGGAGTTCTGACGAACGGCGGGGATACCGCCGGGCGTACTCCTGACCGCAGCAAGAGGCGGGTCCCAGGGACGCAATCGTACCCATTGGGCGGCAGGTTTGCAACCTGTACCCTAGCCTTCACTGGCCAAGGGTGGACAGGCGGCCACAATGCATAGGTACTGCGCCCTGCTACTCACCATTCCACCACTAGTGTACCCTTGCACCCCTCCTTCTGGTCATCGCCTAGCACTTCCCCTTGCCCCGTTCGCCACCGCTACTTCCCCACCACACCCCTCTAGTTAGCTCGAGCCTTGTGCTCACCATGTACAGCCGAACACCCACTTCTGACTCACGTCGATAGTATTTGTAGTTTAAGGCCTACCATGAGGCGCGGCCTCGCAGGGCAATAAACGGGATCTAGAAAGAAAGAAAGAAAGTTCTCTCTGATTTGGAACGCGTTGCGATATGCGACGAGAAAATGCGATCATGTGGCACCCCAAGGAGGTGCATTTTTTTTAGTAGTGTAAGGACGTGTAAGTAAGTCACCGGTCCTGAACGGAGATCTGCGATGGGATAGCTGATGAGAAAGCAATACAGGGAACGCACTGACTACTGCTACAAGTGAGCAACTCAATAGGCGAGTAAATAAGGATAATAATACGGTCGCAGATTTGGGTGAGTCGCCTACCACGTGGCATAGGCTCTGAGAACGTTGGGCCGACCGGGAGCCCGCATGTGCGTTGAATGGGAGCGCGAAAGCTGCGCGGGATGGACCCCTGCAGGATGAAGCGGTTGCTGTGCCCCGACAGTGTTACCCTGCGGTTGCATGTGGGATGGTTCGAGAAAACTCGGGGGTTTGACGTCCACATCCATGAGCTCGTTCTTGACGATTGGACCCAGGGACTGTGGGACGTAGGCACCGTGGAGGGTCTGCGACGCCCCAGCATCCACTGCGCGGATTGTGTTGCGATGTATCGAAGAGGTATGTGGATAAGGCTGGGGAGGGATTGGAGAGATGGAGCTGGACGAGAAGCCGTAAGGCTCGCTTGCTTCGCGCTTGATGCGTGTCGCGACGGACCCCTGCTTGTTTGGCTGCCTTGGCTCGATGTCGTATGGTTCTGGTTTGAGATGTCGCACTTGTGTCTGCTTCACGCGTGCAGAGGATGCTGCCTGCTCTATTGGCTGCTTTGCGTGAACGTCTAACTGCTGTTTGATGAACGGTATGTTCGCAGTGCGTAGCTCGTCCTTGGTAGACAACTTTCGCTTGACGTACGCGTACGGGTCGTACTCGACTAACCACTCGCGTTTGACAGATCCTCCGCGCTTCGCGAATACTTCGGGTTCGAAGAAGGGTTCAGCATGATCGAGTTTGATGGGGTTCTCGGTCAGGACACGGTTGGCACATGACTCAAAGAGCTTTGGCTTGGCCTCGGTTGGCTCAAACACGCGGGAAGCTGTCTGCTGATAGCAGGAGGGAGCACGGAGGTGCTCTTCGCAATCCTCAAGTAAGCCTGCATGTGACAAGGGCCCTGCATGGCTGTTCGAGTCGTATCCGTGGGCGATGTGCTTGTGCTTCGAGAGGTTGGACGAACAGCTGAATTTCTCTTCGCACCAGGAACAATGGTATCGTGAATCTCGAAGGCTGTGGGGGCCAGATGGATCGGATCAGCTACCGCGCAGACATGCATGCACATACATCGACGCACTGTGCGCGGGCTATATGTTGCACCACGTTATGCTTCTGCAAGTCTGCGACCTTGCATAGAGCGCATCTCCACTTCCTGGTGATATCATGGTGCGGGAACCATTGAGTGTTTCAGTGTCTATGCATATATGAACATTCTTACAGGTCATCTTTGTTCGGTGCGTGTCTTCTACTGTGACGGGCCTGGTCTCCTGCGAATGATTTCTCGCACAGGTCGCAGTAAAACCCCTGCAGGAGGTATGAGCACGCCACAAGGAGCAAGTGAAGGGGGCATCACAGACTATAGTACGTCTCTTAGATCCGCTTTTCCTGGTAGGTGCCATTATTTGATGCTACGTGGGTTACTGGCGTCGACGGACGGACAGCTGGAAGGGGGGGGGGCAGGATTTTCAAGGGGTAGCTCGACTCGTGTGTCGATGGGGCGTCATTGCACCCCATACGAAGTCATTTTATGTTTACTGCTTGAGCAAAGCGAAACAAAGGACTCCTCTCAAGCTGCTCGTAGGTCCATTGTGCGCTTGACTCGCTTCGAAGGGGTTGGCTTAGACTTTTACCATAATAGGATGTCCTATCAGCGCGGCCACAGTCGACCAAAGCGTAGTGGCGTTCTTGCTCATCCATCCGAGACCTCGTCGTCACAGTCCTGCAGTCTCATCAGACGAAACCGATGTCACAATATTGACTTCTTCACGAGCAATTTGCTTGCCGAAGCGTCAATTACCATGCTAGAAGACAACACGAGTCTTGTGGCATATTCGCATGAATGTCCCTCAGGCTCATGCGTTCACTTGGCATCAGCAAAAGCTGCAGTGCTTGAATTCTCTACAACGACGGCTCTGTGGCAATTCGGAATATGCCTTGCAGAAGCACCGATCGCATGGGCATCGCGCCGCAAGACTCGAATCCCTTGATAGGTGGGAAAACTGTAAGGGGGCGAAGGGTCGGCGATTGATTTGCACGGACAGCCTCTAAACATTGTTTTCTGCCGGGCCACATCCTCGATAATATCTTTCATGAAACGCTTGCTCAGAATGGTTTAATGTTTGTACTTAGACCGATGCCTAAGATTGCATTGTTACGTGAGTGGCCAAGTAGCCGGGGATTGTGAGTGACAATCAGTGTGGCCGACGTAATACGTCGATTCACCATCAGCAAATGTGCGAAACCGTGCCAGCGGCAATGCCATGCGTGGCAGGAATGGTAACGCCCAAAATGGCAAGCCGGGTATTGCAACACCCAAGCTCGCCAATGCAAACCTCGGTGGGGCGAGGCGGTTTATAGGGCCGTCAGGGAGTCTGATGACAATGACAAGGGATGCAACTATCTCGCCATAGCTGTGTTAAAGAATGCCCAATTTTGACATGCATACAGGATTGCAACTACATGGGCACGACAAATACCAATGCAAGTCGGCTCTTCGTGTGCCACGCAAGCAAGCGCGCATGGACTTCGTGTTACAAGTTCGACAGCGCCGTCGCCTAGATCGCAATCCCCCGCTCCTTCCGTCACCTCTTCTTCAGCACCCCCCACGCACTTGAGTAGACGACCGAGCACACTAGGACAGGCCGCAGCGTTCAAGGATGGAGTAGGAGCAGCACGTACACCGTCGAATGCGTCAAGATCAGGTGCGTCGTTGATCCCTCGTGGTTATGGTGGTGCGTAGCCCTGCACACCGTACTCATCGTCATCACCACTCATCTCTTCGGCATCGTCTGCAGCGTCACGGACGAGTAGAAGTTCGAAACGAGCTCTGACTTCAACTTTTCATTCCCCATGGACCTCAACTGCGACCCCAACATGGCCGTCGACCCTAGTGCGCTCCATTTCACGACTATATTTGAACAGTCGGCCTTCACGCTGCCCCCTGGCGAGTCTCCGCTTCTCCTTCCGAACGAGATGGCGCACAACAACGCGCTCTTCTCCGGGGAAGACTTCAGAACGCCGCACTCACATATTGAACCCGGCACCGGTCGGAGACTCAGCGTCACTTCATCCTCTTCTTCCTCCGGTGCCTCGCTCTCCCCCATCATGGAGCCTACTCAGGCCGTTTCAAGTTCACCACCAGATGTCAACTTGAATGAGTCGACCTCGAGCATCCGACACCGTCTACCGCGTCCGTACGCTCGACGATATCGACCAAGGCGCGCGGCTTCTCGCAGTTGCACTGTCAGTCGCCTAAGCCATCTAATCATGCGTTCGCTGCGCCAAGTACTGTGGCCTTGAAGGGAATGAGCTGGGGTTAGGGTATTGGCTGAAGATCGTGCCCAGGTTCGACGTTGATGTCATAACTCGCTACCTGTCAATAGCATTGTAGTTTTTTCTCAAAAGCCCTGGGGCCCATGGAGGTCTCTGATATCTCTTTTCCTCGTCTCTCCCACCAACACCATGCCACACAATAACAGGGCGCACCGCAAATCAGGCCCGGCGAAACTGGTGCCCCGCGTGCCCTCGCGCGGGAACCTACTCGCGGCCGTGGCGAAGGCCCGACAGGAATCCCGCTCTGACAGCGATCCTAGCCATGCTCGGAAGCGGCCTCGCCACGAGGACGCCCATGCCTCTGAAGCTCTCCCTAACTCTCCATCTCTCCCACGCCCTCAGTCCTCTGAAGAACCCGACAGCACGAACTCCTCTCAGTCCGATCCTGAGGACATCCCAGGTCGTGAACCCGAGCCCAACAGCTCACCACCCCCAGCAGCCCCAGATGCAGAGGACGAGGATGAGACCGATCCCAACCCACCTTCCCTAAGTCTGCGTCGTCCAATCACAGCCTCGCCTATGTCTAGCACGAGCAGCGACAGCGACCACGACGACGGCGAGGTAGTCCCCATCGCCGAGCTCCTCAAATGGATGCGGTACGACGTCCCTAACCGCAAGTATGTGCTCTTCATTTGTTTGCAGACGTGACAATCTGACTATATGCGCTATCACTAGGTCGACCAAGCTCATCCGCAAGTACAACAAGGCTGCACGCAGCATTGCCCCAATGTATAGCCCGTTCATGCAGGCCAATGCCGCCTTCTCTGTCGGGCTAGACATTGAAATCGAAGGCAACGACGACGAGGACGACGCAACGGATCCGCGCTCCTGCCGACGAAACAGCTATCATCGCGCGGGTAACGAGGGATCC